CTAACAAAGGACCTAGGAACTGTTAAGGTAACGTCAGAGGATATAAGCTGTTCCAAGTAGGATGGTTTTTTTGTAGAATCAGAATGGACAAGTCCGGTAAATTTAGAATTTCCAAATAGCGAGGTAGTCCTTTAGGTATTGCTCCAATTACAATTGGGACACCACACAATTTCTTTCCACAATCCCTTAACTTCAATTTGCAAATCCCAGTACTTTGTGAGTTTTTCTTGCTACTTATCTTCAATTCGTGCATTATCAGGCATTGCAATGTCAATGAACCAAACTATTGTTATTATTCATTAAACATGAAACTCAGTCAATTGAACATTTAAAAATGTGTCACAAATACCATTGACTGGTGCTAATGGTTGATGTGGGTTGCTGCCAGTGTCCTCAGTATCCACTAAGTATCTTGTTAAAATATATTATTATTGTTGTTGTTATTATTATTATTGAAACAAGTCAAATATAATGCCTCCCTTACATTTTTACTAATATAATTCTACATAGCATCAAAAACCACTATACTGCATCTATACACATAAAGTTATTGCTTCTCAAAACCTTTTCTTTACCAGGAAAAAATATGTTAGTGAGTATGCATTTATATTTCAAAACCCTTCTTCTAACCTTTTTCAGCAACTCTTAACTGAAGTGTGGAGTAAATTTGTGGTCAGAATTTGGCATGCATAATATGGAACATTATAATTCCATCAAATAAACACAGTTATAGTTTCTCTTTAAGCCTAGTTACCATCATATCCCAATGCATACGGTTAAAATATGATCTGTCTGCTCACTCTACCTCTCAGACCTGATTATAAAAATAAAACATCCATTAAAAAATTTTGGAGTCTGGTCAGATCCTCTTCCAATGAAGTCAGATCCTAGCGTGTTAATTGTGTCTTTATATTCATTTCTGAAATCATAATACAGTACTACTTAAACAGCTATTGTTTAAATAACTGAACAATTCATTGGCTATGTAAAGTTACAACCAATCCTCATAGTTCTGGTTGCTACAGTGAGCTGTGGTAAAAGGATTGCAATTTCCAACTTTCCTTGATAGCTTTATACAAAGTCAATGGGGGAAGCAGGAAATCAGAAGTCGCTCCTGCTGTTTTTTTCCCCACTCACTCTCTATACCACTTTCCGACAGCATCTCCCCCCAACAGCACGCATCTGTGCTCCACAGGGCCTGCCTAAGCATCTGTCTAAGGTATCCTCCGCTCCCCTGCAGCATCTACATACCTGCTTATGATCCAGAGCCACTGCTCACAGAACCCCACCACCTCATCCGCCAGCCTGGGACTCTTCCTACTTATAGACTCATGTGGTCCTGGCCTCATGTGGTCAATGGCAATTGGAACTGAGGGATTGCCATTGCTGCATGATTCATTCAGGTGATATCTTTGCAACTGCCATCACTTACAATGGAAATTTCACCCAATTGTCATTGTAACCCAAGGCCTTTAATATACACTGCATGCTGAAGGGTTTTTTAGCAGGATTTATAGTTGCATTGTGATAAAAAAAGAAATAACTATCTTTAAGCATGATGCACCATTACTACAGATATAACCCCTTTGGTCTAAATATTTTGCAAATATTTTTCAGGCCCCGTACCAACAAAACTAACCATTACATTTTTTTCAGTAATTGTGGAACTGAAGAATCACTCATTTTCTCCGAAACTAACTTTCAGCAGCCATAAATGCCACCAACTGAATTTTCCACATAAAGTTGAGTGATTCCAAAATTTACCATTGAAGAATGGCCAAACTCGGATTTTATTTCCAATCTAGAAGCACACATTTCTGGCTGCTATATTGTCATGGCCTAAGATCCAGATGAGCACACACTCCAAATTGCTGTGTCAGGTCACATTGCAACATTATAGGCAGATGTTATTCATTGCTATTAGACTTGTTTCCAAAAAAGGACTTGTGGAATTGCAGTCTTAGCAAGCAGCCTATGTCCCACTAAATCATAACAAAATTTTATTAAAAAAAATAAACTTGTAAAAGTCTCCCTCAAGGCAACTCTAATTATCTGACTTCAATTAAAAATTAGGTTGAGGGTTGGAATTCAACAATATAATTGACAGGTTCTAGAGCTTCACATCACATCTGCTCTTTAATGTCTAAGTAAGAGTATCTCTGGTATTTAAGAAAAATTATAAAAATATTACATGCAACTTTTACAACCATCTGCAAAACTCTTCTTTCTTTTCTTTTCTTTTGAATCCAAGTAACAGAAAAACAACAAAGCAGAAAGCTTATCCTAGTGAAGAAACAGGTGCAACAATTGAATTTTATCTGGTCAGAAGTCTGAATGGTTTTGTGATTAAAAAACTAGGATATATTTATTTCTCCATATGTTCCTGCTTCTTTTTGAACTATTAAGACTATATAACTTCCTGGCAGACTGGCAACTGAAAACTATTATGCCCTAGGTAACATTCTCCCATGTACTGTATGTCAGTCTCAGATAAGGCTGCAGTATATTTCATGAAAACCAAGAATCTGCCCTAATATTTTTGGAATTAACTTGGATGTCTTCTAGTCAGGCTGGCAACATGTAGCTCGTCTTGCACAAGTGGCAGGCTGACATGTGGGCACATACACACAGCTCAACATATGCAAGTTGAGCTGCATGCATGCTGACCTGCTCCTTGCACAAGTTGAACTGTGCACTGCTGCAGCCCAGCCCCCTCTCCCCTCATCTTACAGGGCCACCAAGCTGCAAAGGCTGGGGACCACTGCTCTAGACCAACTCCTTGATGCTACAATAGTTTCCAAACTTTTCACTATAATCAAAAAGTTGAGAGTGACTGGCCACCACAATGTATTCACAATGTTTTAGTTGTACCCATCAAGACCAAATGGAAAAATCATGTGGAACATAATCTAAGATTTCTGATACAGATTGATAATTATAGGCATAACATAACTGATCCCAGTCTATAATGTTCAAGCATAAGCCATGCTTTCCCTGCAGAAATATGAACAATGTTTAATAGTCTTTTGTAACAATGTTAATTGGATAGTAAAGTTGGTTATAGCCATTTGCTAGACATCTTTCACCACCAATTGGTCAGCGTTGGTACATATATATAGATAAAGGCTGCCATATGATAATTTAGATGATGCACATACCATGTTTTCCCGAAAATAAGACAGGGATCTTTTGATCTTCGAAATAAGTGCTTGTCCTTATTTTTGGAGAGGTCTTATTATTTTTGAGGTGTAGGAGGTGGCAAGCGTGGTCACCTCATGGATGCTACTGTATTACAATATTTTCAGGAGGGCTTATTTTCCGGGGAGGGCTTATTTTAGCATGTGCACTCAAAAACCCAATTGAGCTTATTATCTGGGAAGTTCTTATTTTCAGGGAAACAGGGACACAAGCTATTTCTTCTCTTTTTTTCACAAATGGCATTGAAAAATAGATATTTAAAGCATGCTTTTCAATTAGAAAGATATTTTCCTCTCTTTTCTAAATCACCTGTATTCAATGCTATTATTATGAATTTATTGTGTTGCATGTACACATTAGGACCTGGGGATATTTAGCCACGTGAGTCTGATATGTTGGTTTTTCCACGAATTAATCTTAGCAACTTCAGAAGATGATTCACAAAGTTTTCTGGAAACCCAGAGCCCTTCCCCAAGTTGTCAATTTCTATACTTGCCTTCACAAAACTTAACTTTTTCTTCTATGTATAGCAAACCTTTTGCAAGAAGTTGGTTCTGCCAAAAAGAAAAAAAAGGTTGGATTTTCAACATTCAAAGACACAAATATTTTCAATTTTTACAAATGTTATTTCAAATAGATTTGCCCAATCTACTGAATCAGCAACATATCTTAGTTTTAGATCAAGGAAATATGTCAAAACACATATGGCCAATGAAAGTTTTACATGCTTTAGCTGTAATATCTCAATTTCTAATCAAACTCATTTCTTTTCTGGCCAAAGATTTTCAGGTTGGATTTTATTGCTATTATTGTAATCATTGTATTGTGTTTTAATATTATATTTATATTCTACTTTCAGCTCTGGAAAGTCTCAAAGAGCATATATTTCTGGGTTGCCAAATAAATGTGGAAAATACATGTAAAGAAAGGCATTCCTGCATATGATCAGCTAAAACCAGTCTCCGTTCTGCAGATGTTAAATCACGTGGCATATCTCAGTTGCAAATACCTTGATGGTTCAATGCTGTAAAACATTCACTGGTGGAAGAAAACAACTGAACTAAATTCTTATGGAATTAGTGCAGAGGACAACACAATATTACAAATACTTATACCGGTTTTCCAGTGTGCTAAAAATTAGAACACAACCAAGACTCGTAACAATACACTGCATGAAGGAATGTCCCTATTTGCTATTAGCCATTTTATTTTATTTTATCATTTATTTATTTATTTTTAATCCATTTTATTCTTCTACTATTTTTCAGGTGATGGCTCCAATCCAATTATATATCTGTCCACTGAATCTGCCTGTACTTTGGAATCTCCCCTTAAAGCAGGGAGTTTCCTAAAAATGTTTTGTACAATTAAAAACTTTGGGGCTGTCCCCAAACACAACTCCTTCTTGTATCGATTGTGTTATATAAAACCGATACTCATTTCTGAACTTCAAAAAATAGAAGGAATGAGTCAATGTTGACTCTCTATTTTACATCGTCAGTGCAAGCCACACTTTGCAAAACTTTACTTTCTTTTTTTTAAAAAAGAGGAACACCTCGGAGCTTTTTTTTTTTAAAGGGAAAGAAATGAAAAAGCTGTTTAAATAACAATCTTGTTTTCTTGATATTTAATGCAGCAACTATAATAATATTTCAATATTTAGTCATCATTGAAGAATATGCTGAAAATCCACTTTCACAAAGTTGTGATGAAGGAAAAAGAAGCCGTATCGTCAGTTTTTTCTCACTTCAAAAACTGTCCCTGTGAACTTTCACTGAAATTTGTGGATTTTTTTTTCAGTTATTTTAATATATGCTTATGGCGAGATCTACCAGCATTTCCTGTTCATTTCCCACTAGAAACTAAATAGATATAAAACCCATTAAAAAGCTTTTAGAACCACAGACCAACTCATAGAACATCTTCAATAATATTGTTATTCAACAGAATATGGTTTAAGAATATTCATATAGATTTCCCAAGGAACTGGCAATCTAAAGTTTACTGGCAGGGAGAAGGAATGAAAGATGAAGTTAAGCAAATGCAGTCATCATCTATTATTATACAATTGTATCACAGTGGCCAGTTGTTTCACCGGATTTGGCATTGGTTACTAGTCGGGCCCCACCCAGGGACCTAGGACGTCGTAACATATTTTCATAATATGCGTGCAGATCCAAGCAGTGCGGCTTTTTGCATTTGACTGATGGTGATTTTGTCTATTTTTAACTGTTTCAAATGTAATTCCAGTGCTTTTGGAATAGCACCCAGGGTGCCAATTACCACTGGAATTACCACTGCTGATTTGTGCCATAGTCGTTGAATTTCGATTTTTAAGTCCTGGTATTTTGCAATTTTTTCATGTTCCTTCTCAGTGACCCTGCTATCACCTGGTATTGCGATGTCTATGATTGTAACCTTATTTTTCTCAACCAGTGTGATGGCTGGTGTATTATGCGCCAGTATTTTGTCCGTTTGTATACGAAAATCCCACAAGATCTTGACCATCTGATTTTCGGTGACTTTTTCACCGAAAAAGTCCAGTTTGTTGTTGTTTTAATATTATAATTTTTGCACAAATTCCAATGGATCATTTGTGCTACTGAATTGTGCCGCAATTTATAATAAGTCTGCGCGATTTTGTTACAGCAGCTGAGTATGTGATCAACAGTTTCATCAGCTTCTTTGCAAAGTCTGCATTTGGCATCATCAGAGGATTTTTCGATTTTCTATTATTATTATTATTATTATTATTATTATTATTATTATTATTATTATTATTATTATTATTATTATTATTATTATTATATCAAATTGATTTTCTGTCTATAGCTAAGTGGCTCACAACCATAAAATATTAGTAAATATAAAGAAATATTAAACAAAGGGAAAGTAAAATAGAATAAAATAATAAAAATTTGTGGCCATGAAAATTTTCTTAAATAAATAATAAAAATATAATAATATGTAACAATAATAAAAATAATAAAACAAGCAAGGAGAAAGAAAATAAAAAAATATGTTGATATGACTAGTAAATGACTAGTAAAAAAAAAAGATGTATGGGGAGCAGAGAGGTGAAGGGAGGTGGAGTCTGCTGTCAATCTAGCAGCCACCTCCAGAATTCCCTATTGGATCCTCAGGCCAATTTGCAGAGGCAAGTCTTTAGGTTCTTACAAGAAGATAGGAGGTTTGAGACAGACCTTACCCTGGAGGGCAAGATGTTCTAAAGGGCAGGTGCTACGGCAGAGAAGGCTCTTCTTCTGGATCCTGACAGTCAGAGTTCTTTGACTGACAAGATCTGCAGTAGGCTCTCACTGTCATCTTGAGAAGGATGGGCTGGTGTTATCAGGATTACGGTTCATCAGGTAGCCTGAATCTATGCCATTAAAGGCTTTAAAGGTCAGAACCAGCACCTTGAACTGCACTCAAAAGCAGACCAGTAGCCAGTGTAACTTGCCAGCGTTCTACAATATTTATCATCATGGAATTGGGGGACTGCTCGGGCCATTAAGTCCAACCCTCTGCTCAGTGCAAAAAAAACCCAAAAAAAACCATTAAACCATCCCTGACAGAGACTTACTCAGCTTCTGCTTACCTTTAAATCAGAAATGTTTAATAAGAAAGATGCCTCTATAGGTAATTGATTATTCTTACTGTTAAAAGAATGTTACTGTTACTGTTCCCCCCCACACACACACACATTCAACTGATATCTGTCTTCCTACCCTCTGGAATAATATATAATAGTAGTCTTTTATATAATCATGTCCAAGGTGCCCTCTAGACTCTCAGAATTCCCAGACAAAGTGGTCATAAGAATTCAAGGAATTAAAATACTACACACATCTGGATACACCAGTTTGAAAAAAGCCTGGAGGTTATGCATGCAGACAGAATTTTATGTAATAAAACATGCCCATGGTTATGAGCAATCCTGCCGCTGTGAATAAGAGCTGATGAATCATATGAATAATTTTTATAAGTAACTATTCCTCTAACATTTATGGGAAGTGTTTGTGGTTTCAAGACATAGATGTACTCCACTGCCTACAGTTTACCGATACTGTATGCACATGGAATAATTCGCAACTATCCAGAATAGTTTTGAATTCCTTGATGGAAAATAATTGGCTGACGGGGGATCTTTGTGCAAGCAAGCACACAGAGGAATAGTGAACAAAACAGAAAACTGGTCAGCAGTATTATGTTCAATTACCCAAGCAACTATTTTCCTGCAAATTCAGAACAAGGCAAAAGAAGAGAATGCAGGCAATATATATATATATATATATATATATATATATATATATATACTGTATGCACAAATGGTCTAAATATATAGCAATCGGGGCGAAGAAGCTATTCTCATTTTGAGAAACGCACCAATGCCCTTGCAGTGCTTCCTTCCCAAGCAGCTTTATTTTGAAAGATTATGTCAACCCAATTAAAATTACTCAATAAAGACTATGATTAAAATAATCCATGGTTTGTTTTTATATCCTGCATAGAAGTCTAAGTCCCTTTTAATAGAAGGCTCTGTGTTACCTAGAAGTTTAGCAATTACTTCAGATTCAATAAATTTATCTATGGGCAAAAGTAAGCAATAATCTTCTCAAATTTCTCAAAATGCTAGAATAAACAATTACTTGTGTTATTCTCATAAACCATGTCATGTATTATATTCTCCCTCCTCTCCCCACTGTAATAACTTATGAATTTATGTAAAGATACTAGGAAACAAAGTATCTCAAATTAAAAATCCAGACCGAAAAAGAATCATATCACAAAAAAAAAGTTTGAGGAACTACAAGGAAATATAAGGTCTCATCTACCAGAATTAACACAGAAAACAATAGTAAGTGGTTAGATGTACACATCATGGTAAGTCATAATTTTGTTTCCTTGTTTCGGCTAAATCTGATTTGTGAACCCAGCAACTGTGTTTTGAGCTTAGATATGGTATGGTTAACTGACTTATTGAACAAACCTTAAGTTCTGAAGTTGTATTACCATATATTTGTTACACAGTCAGTATAAAATGTAAGCCACTCAATTATCTCTTGGTTTAATAGAATACATGAAGCTTGGCCTTTAAAACTTTGTCACATGTAAGGACTAAGCAACCAGATTATTTCCAGATTGTTAAATAACAAGCTATCAAGAATCTCTTTACACATAATTCCAGCATATGAGGAACAGTAACTGATAATTTATAACACTTTACATTTCTTCTAAATATCATGTTCTAGATGTCAGTAGCTTAGCTGAAAAGTTCACTTCCTATCAGAGATATGTACAACTTCAGACAATAAAATGTAAAGAAAAAAAAACAGGTTTTCCTACTACCATCATTTAGCCAAAAAATAGCTAGGACAATTAATGGGCAAACTCAACTTTTGTCACCTGAGGAGCCACTTGGTAAATGGGTTGGAAGAACTAAAGGAACTTTTAAATCTGCATATACAGATGTAAAATCCTCCACTTTTGGGGGAAACGTGGTAGAAGAGAACATTTGTGAGAGAAATTGTTTTTGTATTTTTTGTACAAAGTTATCAAATCCCAAAATAAACAGTTCAGTTCAAACATTATAGCAAACTATATTTAGTCATTATGAGCCAAAATCAAACCATGAACCAAGAATTTTAAGTAAACTGTGATGGCTGCAACTCCAAACTTACATTCTACTTCTGTTATCTGCAAAAGCTTCAACTTGTGCCCATTCATTCTTATAACCATATTCCATGGTTTATTCTTACATCATTTCACATTGCCTAACATTCCACAATTTCAGTCAATTTTACTGCTATCTGAAGTCAAGTTCCATCTTTTCATTAGACCTATTATATTTGTGTATGATCTAGGTTGTGTACTCTTTGTTCCCAGAGAGTGTAGGGGAAAATATTAGGGTTGAATGGACTGAATCTTCAGCCTATCTCTATTGGCCAAATTCCATTATTTTTATGCTGAAAAAAGAACTAATAATATTTCTAAACATTGGCCATTTTCACATAGAATGAACCAGAATTCTGGAGAATCCTCACTGTAATTGAGCTGTTGATATACCTGGCTCATTAGTTATGTTTCATTCCTCACAATTATATAAGAGGTCAAACAAATCCCATCCCTTTAGCACATTGCCATCATCAGAAATGTTGGCTTTATCTCAATGCTTACAAGCCAGAATTGTAAACCATGGTTCCTTTCTCATTTAGAAATTATGGCTTGCATGGAGAGCAACAGCCAAACATCTCTAGTACAATTTATATGCCAATAAATCATTCCAGATTTATTTAACAATTAAAGCTAGCAGGAGTAGTGAATAAGTTGAAATTCACCAGCATGCATTCATCATAAGCCATGATTTTCAATAATGCTAATTTATTGTTCAGTCTTTATTCTATTATTGTTTTAAATGACTTTTTTTTAAAAAAAATCTAGGAATAAGCAGAACCTAAATTACAACAACAAATAATTGGGAGAAATAATTTGTTTTTTTCTTATCCCTTAAATGCCATTACATGCATTAGAATCAATTACTAACAAGTGTTTGTAACCTACAATCTTGCCAGTTAAAGTTGGCTCTCACTAATCAATCTATTAAAACATTCAGTTATTAATTTGCTATCATGACATTCACCTGGCCTGAATAGGACTGGTTTAAATTTGTGTTACAAAATAGCACACTGTAAGATATTACCTGGAATTACAATTTCCAGTTATTTTTATTTCATTACTTAGCATGCAGGAAGCTTGGTAAGTTTATGAATTTTATAGGGTTTTTTTCTGTTCCTGGAACAAGAAAGGATAAAATTTAGGAAAATTCAGTATATCTGTGCTTGAAAACTTTGTGCCAATTTGTCTGTGTGTGTGTGTGTGTGTGTGCGCGCGTGCGTGTGCGTGTGTGTACATACATACATACACATTGCAGAAACTATATAAATTTAAATTTAATCTTTGAGCCAATATTGCATAGGTTATTGCTGTTACAAGAAATGCATTATAATAGTGTACACTGAATTGAGGATAAAGAATACATTATAAGTTGGTCTGCCTTTTTAGAAATCCTTGTGGCTACTTCTGGGAAATCTAAAAGGTCCCCAATATAGAAGTGGATGAAAAAACATCCTATTCATAATTTGGTTTCATAGGTTTCATTTTCACTAATGAGGCTGCTTTCTACAGTAACAATAGCCATGAATTTGGGTACATACTTTTTTTTTTGCATTCTTGTAGATAACAGGACCAAACTGGTTAAATTTAAGACCTTTGAGGGCTGTTTATCAGTTAAAAGGTAAATAACAATTTCACTCTGACTCATGCATTTCCTCACCTCCAGTGTTTGAATTATTGTTGCTCTGCATACTATTCAGATTTCAAAAAGCAATGCTACATTCCCTGAAAGGCTTATTAAATGAGATTTCTGTTCATGTGTCTCAAAACCACAACCACAACATATTTTACTGCATGCTGGAACTATGTGGGTTGACAGCTTATCTAATATGCATTCCACATTTAAGTGCTAAGAATGGGTATTTGCACTGTACATCTTATGTCATTGCTTAGGTAGCTTTTTCCAAAAAGGTGGGGAAGGGCTAAGTATCATAGCATGAATTCCTAGGGAGGAAAACTCAACAAAGGAAGCTATTCTTAAGAATAGTCTCTTCTCAGTGACCACTGATGTCATCTTAAATCAATATGGAGAAATCCATTAACCCTGTGGTACAAGAGACCACATAAAGAATTTCTGATTAGGAAATATGAAACCGTGAGTTGAACATTTGTTGAAAAGTGGAATATCTTCAAAGACTGTGATTGTGGAAACTTCTACAAGATGCCTTATTATCAAATCTCTTTATTCTTTTTGATTTTATAATGTTTAAGGGTGCTCCAGAGTCCTCTAGGACAGAGATCCTTAAACTTGGGTCCATACACCGGCACCAGTGCACAGTATACCAGAAATTGGGCCATGCAATAAAGTGAAGACTCCTATGCGGGATGCAGGCACTACACGAAACCATGTCCCCTCTGGTCTGCAGAGAAGCCTCTCTCCATGGAACTGGTCCCTGGTGCCCAAAAGGTTGGGGGTCTAGGGAACCTGGTAATCTTGGATTAATAGCCATTGTTTAAAAAGATCTTGGGTATATTATTTATCCCAAATGTTCATAAGTACATTTCCACTTATAAGTTTTGCAATGAGAATGATGAAAGGAATGTGGAGAAGAGAAACATGAGTTGTAAGCATTGTAATTTAAGCAACACATAATCCTGTCTACTGGGGGCAAAGAGAGGGTTTTGAGGACAGAAGCAGAGAAAATTCCCTAGTTGTGAACCTTTTTCTGAAACCTACTTTCCAATTGTTCAAGAGTTTTTAAAGAAAAAGAATCATCCTCATAGTATTACCCTTAAATGGGGCGTTTTTATGTAGTACACTCCTACCATTTTAAGAAAATAAGTACTAACTTTTATCAATTTATAGTTCTGCGAATAAGGTTGTCCAGTTTTGATTTAGCCTTTGCTATCATGCTATGTTGTCCAAAACACTTTCTAGCTTTTGTATTCAAAATCCAAGAACTTGCAGCTACTTAAAAAGGAGAAGAAAAAGGAAATCCAGCATAAAGACTTAACCAAAAGATAGTCCAATTTCATTGTTTCATCTATCCACTTAAGGACTAAATGTTACCTGAAAATAGTCTGTGATGAAGGATCCAAGCTCACTCTTCAACAACTGCCTGGAAAGAAATGGATCACTTATCATGAAAACACTTCCAGAAAATAGTAATAAAAAAGACATTTACTGAACTCTACAGTGCAGAGGTGACTAAGAAGATACTTTGACTTTTATGTATTGTTTAATTTTATTTCTTTCATTCTTTCCCATGACACGTCTGGTAGTTGACAAAAAATCCTAAATTGTGGAACACCAAACTGTTAGCTGGTATGAAATTACATTCAAAGCCGGCTTCGTATGTTTTTAATGTCATTTATCCCACACTTGCATGAATCATTTAGAATCATATTCTGACAATGCATTTGTTGTGCATCTGTAAATATGTTTATTTTCATTTTCATTTTATACAGTCACATATATACTGTGCATAACCGGGGCCATATAACATTGAGCAATAAACACAGCCATCCTTGTCAACAATACTCCCCAAAATACAAACCCAATATACCACTTCAACCCTCCATACACCCTTTCTTTCACCCCCCTCCAACTTTCCTTTCTCCTCTACAACATTCCACTCTACCCTACTTCCCCTCCCCCTCTACCACTCCTCTCTCCCAATACACTTCCTCCCTTCCATCTCACCCTCCCTCCGATCCTCTCTCCCACCCTCTCTACCCCTCTTTCTTCTTTCCTTCTGCTCCTCCCTTCGGTGTATTTCTACTATCTATCAATATATTCAGCTTCCTATTTTTACACTAGAATTAGAAAAGCAACAGTATACAAGTGCAATCATGTTACTTTAAAATCTAGCACATACTATATTTCCCCCCTCCCCTCTCCCCCCTAGTACCCCACCTCCCTTCCCCCCCCCGACTTCCCAGAGCCCGTACACGGTATAGCTTTTTATCAAACACAGTCTAAAATATATTAAAACCAAGGAAATTTTTAAAAAAAGAAAAAAGAAAAAAAAGTCAGTAAAGTCTCTACGTTGAACTCAGCTTCTTGCCGTTGCACAAACTTTAAGCAGTTTACATTATTCCTAATTTGTTGTAGCATGTTAACTATCTGGATTAGAAATACTTATTTGTATGAGGCCAACTTGATAGTAAGAACTTGATCAAAAGACCTGAGTCTTCATACTTAATTCCTGTTAAGGAAGAACAAGTTCAATTTCTAAAGAAGGCAAGATCTGATTTGGCTATCTCCTACATTCCTAGATATTATTTTTGAGTGGGCTGGAAAGCAAAACCAAGATTTCTACTCTTTCCATTCAGGTTAACTCGTAATGCTTTGATGTCCTATCCCATATGCATTTAATGCCTAATAATCATGAAGAAAGAATTTCAAACCTTACAAAAATCTGTTAAGACTAGGTCCAGTCACCATGTTAGAAGAGAAACATTTTCAGCAACTTTCCAGTACAGAAAACCCCTGTCATTTCCTGATCAATGACAAACATTATACAATTCCAATTTCAACACTTTATCCTCAAGTAAATCACTATAATATTGCTTTTTAAATCTGAATCTTTTCAAGCAGAATTGAGGTATAGCTGGTTTTGAATACCTGAAAATAAAGGACAGGATGAACCCCATGGAACTTTCAACTAAACCCCGTCTGTGACTTCTAAATAATAATTTAAAAATCATTTTGCAGTAGGATGTTGCTATTATGACAAAACCTCCCTGTTACAGTTTGTCATGAAGCTGAGACTCTTAGACATCGCTTTTCTCCTTGCTGCACCCAGTAATTTATAGTACCAACATTAATTCAATACATGGGATTTGTAAGAATTCTGAATTCCTGTCCTCAATTTCAACCCCATAGTGCTTCTCAGATTATGGGCAGCCATTCTTCACCAATGTTATTTCTTTCCTCCTTTTTAAATTATCCCATTCACTGGACTAACAAATTTGCTTTCTGAGCTTATGTAAACTAAAACCACCAATTCCTTCCCTAATCCTGTATGATCAAAACCTTCCAGGCATTCACCCAATACGTTTGCTATTCATTTTCTCACTCCAGCAATTAACCAATCCGCTGAACAAACCTAATCAGGCATCCTTGCAAAGTAAGCTTTATTAGTCAAAGGATTTTGTGATCTGGAGCCCAATTTAGTTAATGCATCAAGTGAACTTTAATCCACATAACAAAATTCATTTGTCTTTCAAATGAAATACACAAATTTGCTGTGATGTGCCAATACATTTATCCTTCTAGAAATGATGATAAAAGAGGTGTAATTGGTGGTTTTGTTGACAGCTGATTGATCCAATTGAAATTTCTGTCTCTTCTTGTTATACACAAGCAAGCTAGTTATATGCATTTGCTTATATACATGGAAGGCAGTTGTATAGCTGGAGAAACAAATGCTGCCTTCACAAAGAACAAAATGAATGTACTGCTGTTAGCAACAACTTTCCTTTCCAAGTCTCTTATTTAAAGTATGCATTAGAGCAGTAGGATTTTTATTCTTAAGCATGAAGGGGGGGGATATGATTTCAGAAACTTATAAAACCATTTGTCAGAGCATGAAGAATTGTATCTTACCGAGATGATACAAAAAGCAAACAAAAACTTTTATGAAGGCTTCATTTTTGTTTTCAATGCAAGATCTTATGGCCAAAACTGCATGCTTTAAACAGATGTTTTTAAATCAGTCACATAAATCTCTGCTACTGGAAAAAATGTTAGAGCTGTTTTTAATTAACTCACTGGGCGCATACAGTATCAATCAGAAGCATGGAGGATACTGATAAACTTTTGTCGAAACATTTTAGCTTTCTTGGCATTGTCAATGTTTAAACAAGTTCACGGAGTGGAAGGAAGAAAGGCCATGGAGTGTGTGGGGGTTGCGGGGGAGACCATTCTATGTGTTTATCAAATCTGAAGCTATAATCAAATTAATGTTTGTTTCCATTTCCTAGAGAAAATTCTTACCTATTGCCATGCCTTTGTTTTTTGTTTTTTGGTGCCTTAAAGTCATTGTTGACTCTTGATGACTACTTGGACAAGCCCCTGTGGTATTCTTGGCAAGGTTTTCAAAAGTGGTTTGCCATTAGGGCTGAGAGAAAATGAATGGCTCAAGGTCACCAAGCTGGCTTTGTGCTAAGGTTCAAGATAATCCAGCTGGCTTTGTGTTAAGGCATGAAGAACTCATGGTCTCCTGCTTTCTAATCTGGTGCCTTAACCACTACACCAAACAGGCTCCATCAAGACATGAATGTTTTTTGTGCTCATATATCTGACCAAACCATTCCAATAAATTCATTGCATGATCAGTGCCTGTTTTCATCATTATACAAACTTTTGTGACTTGCAAAGATAGTCCCAACTGAACATTGAAATCTGCAATATTCTACGCCTAGTGATCTTTTTTTTTTTTTTTTTTTTTTAGTGGTTTAGTGGTTTATTAGCATTTGTAGGCCGCCCTTTTCCCTGAGGGGACTCAGGGATGGAGGATCTCTCTGACACGTATTCTTTTTTACCTCCTCTCTTTCATATACACAAATTCAGTACCTAAATATGATTCCATTCAGATTTCGAAGAGCAGACCTACTGCATCCCACTTCCAAAAACACCAAACATCAAAGCAGATGCATCAGTAATACCTCATAGGTTTTTTTAAAAGAAAAAGCAGGGGCATAGAGACAAAAACCTGTCTGAGGAGGAAACCCATAGTTCTTTTCTATGATGCCACTCCTTTAAAGCATCACCTTATAAAGCAGCAGCATTCATGCAGCACCTCAGTCAACTCAACCAACTCAGAGAAAATCAAACAGAACTTTTCTCACCCTCAATTAAATCTTTGCACCACAAAGTGCAAATTTTACTCATATCTGACCCCACATATATTATTGCAGAATAATAGTGATAGGGAAAACTCCTCAAACTCTTTGCAAAAATTCAAAAGAAAACAATATCAGCCCTGCTTACATGCAAATGGCTCCATCACATAGCATCATTGCTCTGTCCGCTAAAAATATGAAGCATGTGTAACTACCACATTAACAACAACTCAACCAGCCACCAATAAGCCATTCTTACAGGTGATAGTTTCCCTGTCCTGAAGTTCCTTTAATATTATGATGGCAGAATGAAGCTGAAAAGACACCCTTTGTGATAGCCATTTCTTAATTATAATTGTGGCATGTACAGTTTCCTACAAAATAAGTCAGGGTCTTATTTTCTTTTGACCTCCAAAATAAGTGCTTGGCCTTATTTTCAGGGAGATATTATTTTGAGGCGCAGGAGGCGGTGAGCGTGGTCACCTCATGGCTGCTGCTATGTTGCAATATTTTTGGGGAGGGTTTATTTTGGGGGGAAGGTGCATGCAATCAAAAGCCCAATTGAGCTTATTATCTGAGGAGCTCTTATTTTCGGGGAAATGGTAAAGTAGAGGCCAGGGATGGAGGATAGCAAGCTTGACAGCCCCCCCCCCCAACCCAGGCAAGGACCGCTCTCCTTGTGGAAAGCACACCCAGGATCAGCATCCAATGCAGCCAGATTGGCCCTGGGGTTACACAGGGGTCCCCAAGAAGCAGGAGCAGTGCCAGCCACTGCACAGCTCTCCCCTAGCATTCCCTCCTCACCCTGTGAGGCGATGATGCCGAGAGCCCTGAGATGTAAATAATTTTCTGGAAGAGGAACCGGGCCAAATTCTGATCTCAACCATCCATTACTGCCACTGCTACTGCAAGAAATCCCCTGGTAATAAGAGGAAGAAGGACCTAATTCCATTCTCCTGCTTCCCATGTAAAATCATTGATATATGACCTTTTTTTCTGTTGTGAATTTCTGCACTGCTGTAGCATCATAAAAAGTCCATAGTTCAGTCTCCTTTCCTGTGCCATTAAAAGAAGCATATTGGGAATCCCAGTTACTGCCACAGCACAAAGCTCTTGGCATTACTTTTGCCCTGACCTGGGATGGCTGTTGAATCAAGTTCAGTTAAATCCACATACCTGACATTTTCGTTGAGGATGTAGAGTTCATTGTTTTGCAAGCCTCCCCCTTTGAAGACATTGATCACTGCTGTTTGAACGCTGCCAAACAGAAGGAGAAGGTTAGGGGAGTCATAAATAATGAATGTCATTGCCTGATTTACACAAAGCAATGAAACTGCAGTCAAAAACCGTGTAAATATATCGGAGAGTAGAGAAGGAGATTAATTGCCCTTAAATGACTTCTGCATTCCACTCCCCATGGAATCATTAGGCTCCTTTGCCCACGGCTGTGGAGAGAAATATAATTATACAGATATCTAGAGACTAATACAGGCAGGTGCTAGCCAAAATTAAGTGCACCGCTGTTTCCTTCTGCCCTTATGCAGCTCTTATTTAGAGCACTGGCATGACTATTGCATCATCTTCTTTGGAAACAAAAAGCAACTCTGGAAATTTTGGCCATTGAGTATTCTGACTTTTTCAGGCATACACAAAGGCCAGTGATTAAACAGAGTTTGCTTCATTGCAAACCACAAAAGAATACTTTCTTATAAAAGAAAGGAAGAAGAACCAAAGTGTTGTGCATGTTTCACAAGATGCAAAAACTTATCTCTGTAGGACTGCATGGCCAAATTACTGTGGAAGAGTCTCTGAATTAACCCAGCCTCCCCCCGCCCCCATAAAACATGAAAAAATGTTTGCCGACAACAGAATTCAAGAAAATAAGGACATTTTTACTAGTTCCTTCATAATACAGTTATATATAAATATATTTGTACAAACTATCCACTTTCAAGCCAATCACAGTTCTCAGCTAGCACCATGTGGACTTGAGAGGGAGACGAAAGTAGAATCAATCATTGCTGTCTGCAACAATTTGTAAATGCTCTCTGCACCATTAACTGCAGGCATTTAAATAGGGCTGTGCTTCTAGTTACTGATCTCGTGATAATTCAGAGAGGTAGTCCTCAATTTATGGTAGTTTAATAACTGCATTTATGATGGCTTAGAAAATGGTCATGCTGTCCCCCTTGCCTGCAGTCACATGATTGCATTTCAGGCTTTTGGTAAAACATTTGCATTTGCAAACATATCTCAATTGCCTTGTCGTCATGTGATTGCCATTTGCAATTTTCTCTGTTGGCTTCCCCAGAAAGTCAATGGGAAAGCCAGCAGGGAAGGGCATGCAGGGGTGGTGGTGGTGGAGCATTTTAGGTTCATTCCCCCAGTGCACCAAGGAATTTCCCCTTCCCTCTATACAGCAATGGAAAATCCATGCATGCATTGAAGGAACAAATCTCGTATCTGGCAAAAAAAAAAAAAAAAAAGCCAGCAAATGCCTTTGTTCTCACAATCATTTGGAAGGCCCTTTCTCCAAACTAGGGGTTTTGGAGAAGGAGCCTTCTGAACCACCTCAAGAATGGGGACCACTTGCAGGATGGAGCAAGTGGCCTCAGCAACTGCAGAATGCAAAAGTAAATGGACCTGGGCATGGTGGGGTAGCGAGAGGGTCTGGGTTTCCCTGTGTAATGGGAGGCCCAGACCTTTCCCCCAGCATTCTACTTAACAGCCTGCAAAGGTGCTTAACACTCACAACTGGAAGAGCTGGGACTGCAGTCATTGAATGAAATGACATCTTGCTTAATTACCATTTTATTTAATGATTAAGATTCTGGGACCAATTGTGGCCATAAGTGGAGGACTACTAGTACAGCGTAGAGTCACAGTTTGATACTATGAGAAATGCCCTTGAGGGAGCTCACTTTTTTTCTCTCTAAACCACTACACTGGTAACCATTCATCTGAATCAACAAACTATGTTTGGAACTTTTTCTTCTTAGCATAATTTTAAATAATAACTTAAAATAACTTTAAATAATAACTTGACAAGTTAACCAAGCAATAAAAGTAGAATTAACTGTAGCCATCAAATCATTTTCAATACATACGCCAAGACATTTTTTGTAACCACACTTTAAAATCACCCAGACACACCTACACAGAAATCTCTCTGGTGTGAAAAAATCCCTGCCAGGATATTGTCACGTTCTCACAACATGTTATCTCACAAAACCAGACAGATAACTCAAGTTTATTCACTCATCCTCTTGAGGCATTCTGGAGAAGTTTAAACCAGATTTGATCCAAAAATCTTTTCCTTTGCACACCAAAGAGGAAAAATGATCTCCTCCCAGAATATACATACAATTGGTGAGAAATCCAAAGAATTGCACAGATAGTTTTTGAATTCAAACACACAGAGAAATCCAGTAATGCCCGAAGAAGAGCATTATAAGGCATAAAAGAGCTCCGAAATATTTTGGGTACAAGAGGAAAAATGTTTTATTGAGTGCACGCATCCTCCCTGTGGACAATTCCTTATACTAAATGCATCTTTTCTCAAGATATGCTGTGGCTGTAATGTACAACCACATCATCCCTGAAAGACACCTCACTGCTTTATGGAATTACCATGCGAGAGACCTTGCACACTCTGAAGCAACTTTTTACCCTCTAAATCCAAGTCTCAAGGCATCAAATATATATTCACAGGCTGCTTCTCACCTGTTCCAGGCAGAGTTTGATCTGAACTGTAGAGATTGCCGAGCTGCCAAGAATCGTGGCAAATCGCTCAGCACTGGGGAGCTCATGAAACGTGGCCGAGGCTTTCGGAACGAGCCCATCTTCTGAAATTGGAAATCAAAAACTCGAGCTATGATGGAGTCGATGTCATCCGTTTAGACGGAAGGGGATGAGGAAATGGATTTGCATGAGGATATTGAGGTTAACTGGCAGGGAAGATACTTCTGTTTCCTCAGAAATCAGAATTCAACCTGTCAAAAAGTGGAAACAACAAAGAAAAATTGAGGCTTAAACATGCTTTATAAACTATACTACTGTATATGACAGACTGGTCGTAGCACCTCTATTCTGAGGTGGTTAACTCATTGTAATAAAAAAAAACCTCTTTCATTTTAAGTTCATCCTTAAGAGACATTCTGGTTTTCTAATGTTAACATGCCAGTATTTAGAATCTTTTGGGGGAAAAAACAAAAAGAAGATTGGCTTAAAAACTCATGTTTGTAATAAATGTATAGAAATCAGGACACATAAAAAATAAAACAGTAAGGAAAAGGAATGTGCTATCTATCTATCCACTCCCCCCTTTCTCTATTTCTATCTTTCTCTATATCTACCCAGCTTCCTATCATCTTTTTCTATCTACCATCTATCTATCTATCATCTATCTATCTATCTATCTATCTATCTATCTATCTATCTATCTATCTATCTATCTATCTATCATCTATATAATCTATCTAAGGAACAAGTCATGCCATTATTTTGTTCAGAAGGTTTTACCCACACTGAATGTAGGTACCTCTTAAGGATTTTTAACATTGCAACATGCCTAACCCAAGTACAGCAGGAACACTGTCCCACTTATGCACTAACAACAACACCAGGCCTGTTAGGAAGGATCCCCCATTACCCAGAGCCGAGGTGGCGCAGTGGTTAAATGCAGCACTGCAGGCTACTTCAGCTGACTGCAGTTCTGCAGTTCAAATCTCACCGGCTCAGGGTTGACTCAGCCTTCCATCCTTCCGAGATGGGTAAAATGAGGACCCGGATTGCTGTTGGGGGCAATATGCTGACTCTGTAAACTGCTTAGAGAGGGCTGAAAGCCCTAAGAAGCGGTATATAAGTCTAACTACTATTGCTATTGCTATTTAAAGGACCACTGAAAAAAGTAGGCCCAGGCTTTTTGTTAAAACTCCTCTAGATCTAATGGAGAATTGCTGAAAATAGTCAAAGGCTCGGAGCTTTACTGTAAAGCAATGTTGCAATCAATTTCTTGTGAAATCATTACATACCAATGAGTAAGGCTGAGGTTGGTAATACTATACCAAGCTTTTGGATCATTACCAGTGGAAATTTCCTTTACAGTTTAGACAATGCCACTCCCACTTGCTAGGACTGTCACGATGCCAAAGGGGATTTGGGTTGCCCAAACTGGTTTTGTTTTGACTTTAAATGTAGTTCTCAGGTCAAAGCTAGACAATGGGAATTTTAGATCTATACATTTTCTTTAATCATCAGTGGTAGGCAGGGACTTAGAAAATTGCCTGTGCTTTTCTTATAAAACAGTATAGTATATTAACGATCATGAGCTGAAATTTCTGATTCACATCTTAAGCTTATAAGAAGCTTGTTTCGACCACAGTTTCTATCAACTAACCTCACCTTGCAATATATGGATAATACTGTATATTACTTCAAAGTCATGATAATCAAGCATAATAATAATGAGTACAACTGGAAGGTTTTACATTTCTATAGAATTTTCATCTTCACAAACATGCAATTTATATTCCAGAATCAGGATGAGAGTAAGTGCAAATGAGAGAGAATTTAGTGGATCATGATCAACCCAAAATCCATTCCTTCTTCTAAATATGACTAAGCTTGAGTCTAACCCAAGACTGTCAATGTTTGTTTATTCATTTCAGAAGCATCAAGAATAATGAGACATAGTACATGATATAAAACTTAATATATAAAATGCAAGATTAAAGTATGTGCAAATTAAACAGATCTTGCCCAGAAACTAGCAACATTAATTGCATTCTGTTGTGTTGCTCTGAGGTCCTCAAGTGTACACTGATCAGGACATAAAGAGTAGGTATAAATATATGTTGTTGTCTGCATGTCACCACAATCATAAACGGAAAAAGCTATCAGAAAGTCCCGTTTGTTCAGAGTGTTTTTGGGTTTGTTGTACCAATGCAGTTTGTTCAATGATTTCTGAACTTCCCAGCTTTCTTCAGTCTTTACAAAAGACTGTAAATTAAAATATTAGTGATATTAAAATAGGTTAAATTTCTATTTTATTTTATTGAGATATTTTATATGGTTGCCTATTCACTCACAGTGACTCTAGGTGGCTTACAGATAATTTTAAAAATGTAGAAAAATTAAAATAAAAAAGGAAAAATAACAAAATAATAATAAAATAAAAACCCACCCACCCCTTAACAACACATATTGAAATCAACTATTTAATGAGTTCCGTCCCAGTCTGGCTTCCCCACACCTGCTGGCAAAACCACATCTTCAGAGCCTTCTGAAAGAGTGCTGGAGTGGGGACCAGTATAATTTCTAGAGGGATGATGTTCCAGGAGGAGGGAGCCACTATGGAGAAGGCCCTTCTTCTGGGTCCCGCCATATGTATCTTCTTAAGGGACGGGACCTGCAACATTCCATGCCTCAGTACTCTAGTGGGGTCGGGTGGTTGTGACCAGCAAGAGATGGTCCCTCAAATAACTTAAGGTTTATACTACCATAGATAAATTCCTTTTTAAAAATATCTCATAGATTTTTCTTCTCTAGAAAAACAGCAAATATTCTTAAAACAAAGAGGCTAATCCAATAAAGTGTTGGCTCTAATCTGCTTAAATTCTCTTCAATAAATTCTACTTTCATTGGGTAGAAAATGTCCTTCCCTTAGATAGCCAACTTCATCCTGAGCACGTAAACACATAACTGTATAGCATGTTTAGTACTATAAAAGTAAATAATTAACAAAGAAAAAGGTGCAAGTGTTCCTATAGACTTGTTAAATTACAACTGAAATTTGAAATGAACTCAACAATATCTATTCTAAAGGCGAAACTAGGCATCAAAGTCTTGGGTTAATTCAGGGATAGGCATTCAACTCTCAAATCTATTTTATGATCTCACCAGATCCCTTTCACACATGGTTTCCCACAATTTATGGGAATTAATTCGTGATCCATTAGCAATGATAACTTAACTTACAGATTTTTATTTTAAAAATAAATCCCTATATTCACTCTCTATCAAATAGAAAAAAATACAAAAACACACAATTTTGGTTACATCTATACGAGTAATACAAGTTTGCTCAACTATGAATCTCACCATTGTATTAAAAAAATTTAAATGCCACCCCAGCCTCCTTTAATTAAACAGCAATATAGAAGTTGACTGGTCAATTGCAATCAAATTATCCCTCAGCACACCAGCTCAGGAAAAAAATCTCCCCCGATGCTAGGGTTTTCTTTTCCCTATAACTAAGCACCGCAGAAAGAAAAAAGTTTAGCTTATTTATATGTCATAAAATTATCTTTTACTATATGTAAAAACAAAATATAAAGATCCTTTAGTACATTCTTTCCAAATTTATATGTATCAGTTGTAACAATTCCCACAATTTTTGCTTACAGATAATCTTCAACTTCTGACTACAAGTTATGCCCAAAATTTCTGTTGATAAGCCAGATAGTTGTTAAGTGAATTTTGTCCCATTTTACATACTTTCTTGCCATAGTTGTTAAATAAATCACTACAGTAGTTAAATTAGTAACATGGTTGTTAAGTGAACGTGGCTTTCCCATTGACTGCTTGCTGGAAGGTGGCAAAAAGTGATCATATGATCCCATCATATGATCGCATCATGATACTGCAACCATCATAAATACGAATAAGCAATTAAATTTTATCATGTGACCATGGGGATGCTACAACAGTGGTAAGTGTGAACAGTGGTCCTATATCACTTTTTCAGTGCCACTATAACTTTGAATAGTCACTAAATGAACTGTTGTAAGTCGAGGAATACCTATATAATAGAGTAGAATGGTATAAAACAAAGACAAAGAAGAAGAGAAAAAGATGAAGATGGATTTAGAGATGGGCAAAATCATCACCCATCTTGATGTTTGTAGATTGGTAGGATGTTTTGTATCATCCTGTGTGGCTGAGGTGCTGGCTGTGTGTCCAACTGCTATTTAAACGCACAATCCCATCATCACCCTTGCACAGATCAACTCTGTAGCCAAGACCCTAATCTCCAGAACCAAACACCTAGCCTGAGACCACCTGAAAACTGAATTACACACTCTCACAAACGTATTAATCTCCAACGGATTCCAAAGAAAAACAATTACCAACCTAATCCAAAGGGAGACACCTAAACTTATGTCACATTCGTATTCACTCCATCTCAGGCTTTGATAGCCTGTTTGTTTTCCTAGAAAAATGTGAATGAAGACCCAGAGAAGCACTATTTATTTCAGCTTCTTGAAACAGCAACTGCCCAAGTAAGGTTTTCATAGGAAGTCTGGAAAACCAAGTTCAGCCTTCGGGTCATAGGTTTCCCCATCTCTAGTACAAATCATTGTGCAAAAGTATTGATGTTCAAAACAAGAAAATTCCAAATCACTCACAAACCTTTGTTATCCTGAATGCAAGGGAAATACAACTAGAAGATTGAACTAAGTTCAGAAGAACTGGATAGATGATGAAATTCTTATTTCTCACCTAGAATGTTAGAATTATAGATCACATGGTTTCCTGGATGGAAGGCTTTGATTTGGGGTGGACAGACTGATAGTGTTTTTGATGTTTTTCATTAATATAGTTCCTGTTACAGGAAGGCTTATCTTTTTTCAGTAATATACACATAGCACTAATCAAGACTTTTGTATTATTATTATCAATTATGATCTTTGTAAGTTTAGGCACTTTTGCTGTTGTAGATCTTCCTTAAGTGAAAACAATAGTATTAAAAATATTTTGCATAGTACTCTACTTCTTTATATTTTACAGAGAAATGGGGAACAGTAATTAATATATGCATTTTATAATAATAATTAACCCACAAGTGATTATTCTGTTTGCCCAAAATCATTGAAGTTACTATATTTTAGTATTC